GCCACAGAAGCTGAGAGGTAAAGCATTCCAGACCTGGGGGAAAACATACAGTCTCATTCCCTGAGCTTACAGTTTAGTAAAATAAGAAAACCATGATTATTACCAGGGATCGTGGAGAAATCCTGGTTGTGATTCTGTCATGTCTGGATGATCTCAAAAGAAGAGTGGAATAAGTAGGGGAAAGGAATGCACTAGGATGGGGGGAAGGGAGAGGAAGAATGGGGGAAATTACTCATAAATGAGGTATACAAAAAGGAGTTTACATAAGATAAAGGGGACACTAGGAAGAAGCATATGACGCTAGAACCTCACTCTTATCTGAGCTGGTTAAAAAAAGCAGCAGTAGCAATCATGATTTTAGCAAAAGCAAAAAACAGACCTAAGAGAGAAGTTCTTCTAAACGGTACCATAAGCAATGAATTAATATCAATACTAAACATATCTGCAATGTACCAAATGGAGTGACAGCCATATTCTTAAAGGAAAAGTTAAACAAATGAGTTACAGGAAGAAATAGAGAGTAAAAATATAACAGCAGGGGACCTCAATTTACTGTTTCAGTCATATTCGACTCTTTGTGACCCCATTTGGGGTTTTCTTGGCAAAGACAGTGCAGTGGTTTGCCATTCCTTCTCCATCTTATTTCATAGATTAAGAAACTGAGGCAAACAGGATTAAGTGACTTGCTGAGGGTCACACAACTCGTGTCTGAGGCCAGATTTGAACTTAGGTATTCCTGACTCCAGGCCCAAGCCACTGGGCCACCTAGCTGCCCTTCATCCCTCTTAGACCTAGACAAATTGAACCAAAAATAAATAAATAAATAAATAAAGTTAAGGATCTGAAGAGAATTTTAGAAAAGTTAGCTATGCTAAGACGTCTAAAGAATACTGAATAAGAACAATAAGGAATATACACCTATTTCACAGCTGTACATAGGACATGCACAAAAACTGAACACAAAACCTCACAAATGCAGAAAGGCAGAAATGCATCTTTTCCTAACCATAATCCAATAAAAATTATATTCAATATAGGAACTTTGAGGCAAAGATTAAAAATTAATTGGAACCTAAATGACTTAAACCTAAACACTGAGTAGGTGTAAGAACAAACTATAGAAATAATAACGTCATTAAAGAAAATCACAACAATGAGACACCACACCAAAATGTGTGCAATGCCAATGCAGCCAAAAGAGTAATTGGGAGAAAATGTGTATCTCTAAATTCTTTCATTAATTAAAAAAAAAAAGAAGCAGATCAAGAAATTGGGCACAAAACTAATAAAAACTACAAAACCAACAAATTAAAAATCCCTAAAAAATTAAATCCCAATCCCAACAAATCAAAAACAATAAACACAAATCCTGAAAATGGAGATTAACAAAACTGAAAGTTAAAAAAAAAATCACTTAAAAAATAAAACTAGAAACTTTTTTCTTGGGGGAGAAGGGAATAAAAACAGATAAGCCATTAGCTAATTTGAGTAAGAAAAATAAAGAAAACCAAATGCCAGTACAAGAAATTAAAAAGATGAATTTACAACTAATAAATAAAAGCAATTATTAAGGAGCTGTTTCTCCCAACTATATAAGCCAGTAAAACTGACTAATGAAACATGAATATTTACATATGAATTACCCAAATGAAGAGAACAGGAAATAGACTATAAAAGAAATTGAACACATCATAAAGGAACTCCCAAAGAAAGTAGTCCAAGAATCAGATTTAAAAGTGAATTCTAAAGATTTAAAGAACAACTAATTCCAATACTACATAAACTATTTGGAAAAAAAAATAGGTAAGAGGGAGCCTACAAAATTACTGCTAGGACACAAATATGGCCTCTATATCTAAACCAAAGGACAGTCAAAACAGAAAATTATGGACCAATTTCCCTAACGAATAATAATGCAAATATTTTAAATATTAGCAAAGAGGCTACAGCAATATATCATAGCAAAGCACTACAATCAGGCTGGATTCATACCAGAAATGTAAAGCTGGTTCAAATCAAGAAAACTATAAGCATAACTGACCAAATTAATAACAAATCCAAAAAAAATAATATTTTAATAGGTGAAGAAAAGGCTTGACAAAATATGACATTCATTCCTGTCAAAAACACCAGAAAGCACAGGAGTAAATGGAGCTTTTCTTAAAATAAGTAAGGTCTATCTAAAAGTAAGAGCAAGTATTATCTGTAATGGGGACTTTCCAGTAAGATCAGGAATGAAGTAAAGATGTCCATTATCACCACAATTATCCAATACTGTACTAGAAATGGTAGCTACAGCAATAAGACAAGAAAAATAAATTAAAGGACTAGGCTTAGACAGAGAGGAAACAAAATCACTTTTTGAAGATGATATGGTTTATTTAGAGTTTCTAGAGTCAACTAAAAACCTAACCAAAACAATCGACTTCGACAAAGTTGCAGGATATAAAATAAACCGACATAAATCATCCACATTTCTTTATATTACCAATGTAATCCAGCAGGAACTATGGAATGCAGCTCCCTCTTTTTACTGAGCCACAGAGAGATTATGTGACTTGCCTAGAGTCACATAGCTATGTAAGTATCTGCTTTGACTATAGTATTAAATATCTTGCTAGCTCAAATCGTTTTCTGCTATATTTCCTAGTTTATGAAACTTCACATAGAGTAAAATTTAGAAAATAGTGACAAACCAAAACTTTTCACTTCAGTCTTTATACAAAAATAAAAATTTATTATGCATACATTTTGGTTCTTAAAAGATATTATAAACATTACAGCTGATCTTCATTCTCTTCAATTCCATATTCACAAATTTACCTACTCAATAAAATTAACTTTTAACCCTAAAATCAGTACTCATGGTGTTTTCACAGTCGTGCCCAGAGTGGCAAAACATCTGAGTTGCCTGTTGCACATGTCCCCAGTTAAAGTTAAACAAGATTACTCTTGGCCTTCTTATTTCAGCTCTCATGCTACTGTAATCAAGGTCCTTTTCTCATCTATTTAGTGCCTGTTTTCCACCTTTTTGTGCTTTTTATTGATGATCTGCTGTTTAAAATGGCCCTGAAACATCGTGCTGAAGAGCTGCCTTGTGTCCTTAAATGCAAGAAGGCTGTGAGGCACCTTTTGGAGAGAATACATGTGTTAGATGAGCTTTTGTTCAGGCACCAGAGATAGTGCTGCTGGCCCTGAGTTTAATGTCAATGAATCAACAACACAATACCTCCAAAAGAAGGAACAGGAAATTCACCCATCTGTATGAGGTCACTCCAGAAAGTGCTAAAGTTAATGTGACCAGAGGCTCACATGAACTTATCCCTGTATTTCCCCCAGAAGCAGTGGCTAACTTAGTGTTTGTGGGGGCTTTAGAGAACATAACTACCTTGATAGATGAGAATTAACTGTGCTTCCTTAAAACTTTTTCCAAAAGCTTCAGCCTACTCCCACAATGATTTTTCTGAAAGCATAATTGTCATGATGTGCCTTAACCACAAAGGAAACCATAATGGAAAATAGTGGCTAAGAATACACAAGCCTCAGTTCTCCCTGCCACCAACTATATTGTGAAACGATACATTCAACTTGTTTTTACAAAATCAATCCTGTATAGGGTGCATACATTCAACAACAACAATTTGACTCAAATATCTCCCCAGTGATACGAGTCTCTAAAAAAACAATGAACATTTTTAAAAATGACTTAGAATTATGGTGCAATCAGCTAAAATCCTAGGACCAAGGGTCTATGAAACAACACAGACTGGTTGGGGGCTTGAGGGAACCAATACTGATGAACTGCTCCTCTCCACTCTTTTCCACGTCCACAAGTTTATACCAAAGTACATCTCGACATTTTTTCATTACACATCTTCCTGAAAAGGTAGTAAATGTCATGAAGTAGGCCAGGGGTGGAAAACCTGCAGCCTCGAGGTCACACGTAACCCTCTAGGTCCTTAAATCCAAAAATCCTTAAATCCTTTGAATCCAAACTTCACAGACCAAATCCTTTTAATAAAAGGATTTGTTCTGTAAAACTTTGACTCAGTCAAAAGGCCAAACACAAGCAAGGACCTAGAAAGCTACGTGTAGCCTCAAGGCTTCCCATCCCTGAACTAGGCATGACACAAAAATAAAAAATGTGTTCCTATGTTTGTAACCAAGACACAATAGAATCAAACTTAGGAATGAAAATTTTCTTTGAGCAATTATTTAAAGGAAAACATGAATAAAGTTAAATATTAACAATATCTATGTTGAGAAATAATGAAGTATTTGCAAACCCAAAGCATCATATGAATATGCTTTAAAAAGAAGGAAACTAAGGGTAGAGACAAGTGCTACACCTGTGATTTCTTTTTTCTTTGGTACAGGGAATTCTGAAAGGAAACTCCCCTCTATTAACGAAGATCCAAGCCTTCTCTACCAATGTAGTTTTAGAGAGATACCCTAGAGCACTGAGAAGTTAAGTGACTTGCCAGAGGTCACACATCAGTATGTGTTAAGAAGTAGGACTTGAACTCAGGTCTGCCTGCCTCCAAGACCAGCTCTCTATCCATTACTCCGCACTGCCTCTTAGAGACAACTAAATACACATCAAATTTTCCTAGTTAAGAAAATATTTAAATTTGGAAACTGCTTAAATAAATGTACTTAAGATAAAGGGCACCAGGTATTTTTTTTTTAAAAAAAAAAACCCTTAACCAACACACAAAAATTATAAATGATATTTTGGACAGAGCAAAAGACTATATGTATTTGTATCCTGCTAATTAAGCCTTAGTGTTCTATGCTGTATGTATTGGTCAGTAAAATAAAACCTTAGTAATTTAGCCTCCAGTAATTAGTAATGTGAGACTGTGACCATGCTATAGAAAATAGAGTTGGTCAAGCAAATTAGAGATGATATAGGTAATTCCCCATTTACCTGGATCCCACCTTTAGTAACCTCAACACAAGAAGTAAACAAAAACAGACCACACTTAGGACACCAGTTCTGCCAAAATTCACTCATCTATTTCCGATTACTCTCAGGCCACAGTCTCCTGACTCTACAGTAACTACAATGACATACAAGTTTGGTTATTTGGTCTTCCCCTGGCAATTTTATTATGCCTTCACAGCATATCATAAGACCTGACTGTGAAGGAAGAAATAAAGAGAACTAGAATACAACATAAACTTGTTGGTCTGGGAGCAGTCAGCATCTGAGCAAACAGCTAAAGAACCCCAGCTGGCCCGAAGGTTTCACTCACTGTACAACTGTTAGTGCTCACACTAGAGGTCTAATAGTGGAAAGTTTACATTTAAGTCCTGCTTGCCTGGTTATTTGAGGAAGTGTGGGAATACCTTGTGGAAAGCAGCGATTTCAAGAGCTAAGATGAAAATAAGGTTAGGTGCATTCAAGAGTAAAATTTAGTCTGAAAGACTAAGCCCACTCCCTGATGACAGACTAGAAGTTATGTTTGTCTCACTTAAGAAATTAAACCCTTATTTCAAAAGCCTTTGGCTATTTTAACAGCACCACCTGCATGCAATGTTTTATCAATTGTTCTCAGCTGTTCATTAAAGCCAACATAGAGGGAGGGCCTCTATTTGGCAACACGTTATCCATTAGTTTTTGTTGACTGTATATACCTGGAAACTAATACAACTATTTCTTTAAAAATATTCTCTAATTATGACTTTTCACTAACTAATCAGAACAAGTGATGTTTAATAAACAATCATTAGTTTTGATTAGTTAATGGACATTAATTAACATCCATTTTAGAATGTGAGGTGAGACCCTCCTCCAAAATTAATAATAATTAACTATGAAAATGCCAGAATACTAAAGGGATGAAAATGAAATTAAATGTAGTCATTACATCCACCTAGAACCTACTTTTACAAACTTACTTGCTATCTGAGCTAGTAATTTCATTTCAGTCAGTTCTGTGGCACTTCTGCAAAAAAATACCCAAACAGCAATACAGCAATACAAAACTCTTGATAAGAAAAATACTTAAAAAAAAAAAAAAAAAGAGCCCCCAATGCTAGACCTCACAATTTTCCCATTTGTCCATGGCCACCACTGATGCCACCACCATCTCCTCCTCCTAGCTGGGTTGGCCTTCTTGATTCTTTTCCCATCTTCCGGCTGAGACAGTAGATGAGCTGTGGATCCCAGCTTGCAGAAACCTGCTTCTGGCTTCATCTCTCAGAGTGCTCTCACCTGCTGGAAGCTCGCCTTCCTGACTCCCTGTGGTTTGCTGCTCAGAGGATGGCTCTGCTGAATGGCTTGTTTTACTGTTAATTTCTTTCACTTTGCTGTTTTCTGGAATTTCACAAATCTCTTCTGGATTTTTATCCGAAATGAATGATTTCTGCTGTGAAATGTAGAATCCACATTTAAATTTTTTTTAAATTAATTTAGCCTAGAGGATTAATAGTTACAGGACTGGAGTCACAGAATTGAACAAATTCACATTCCAAATACATACACTTTTGTGTCAAAAATAAGATTCTAATAAATATTGTTAAGTTTAGTTTAGCCAGAACATTCTCAGTCAGGTACACAAGTTAAGTGACTTGCCCTCTAGTCACAGAATTAAAACTTGACAGCTTCCAGAATTCTCCCAAATAAAGTCAATTAACTATTTTATTCACATATTATGCACAAGGAAGCTATCAATATTAGTGACTAAGCCCTAAGTTATTAACATATGAGAATTATAAAATGTCATGGTTAAAAAAATTGATATTATTTAGTTCAAGTGCTACCTTTTAGCAGCAAATAAATAGCATTTCTACTTTAAAGATCTCAAGGAAAAAGATTCCACAAACAACACCCCACCCTTGCCCATAAGTTCCAAAGGCCTCTCAGGTTTTACAAAGGTACAGAAAGATCCATCCTCAAAAGAGTAAATGTCCCCACCAAACTGCCACTTAGGGATCCATAAAAAAAAATTTTAATCTAACTTTTCCCCAGTTAATGGGTAATATTCTAGTCAGACTGATATAAAATCAGGAAGTTTTTTTGCCTCCTTCCCATGCCCTTTTCTCCAAATAATCTCCTGAGGGTGCTATATATATAGTTCCCTGGGACTTCTGGAGCTATACCAGTGACTTTCAACTGTTTCCTTTCCAACAGAGCACCTTTAGTTACTTTTTTTTATTTTAGGGTATCAGTGAAATTTCACATTAATTGTATGTAGTCTCTAACACCTACCTTGTTACAATATTCAGTTCCTTACAGAAAGTAAAATATTTAATATCAACCATCAACCTCTGCTCTCTTTCTGGATGACTTTAAATTTAAGAGGAGAAAGTCACTAAATTTAAAACTTTACTGCTGACCATAAAGATATACGAATTTTTTGGGCCATAAAATACTTCAGTACAAAAGCTCTATTAGAAGGTTCAGACCTATTATTAAGAAACACCAAAATAAAATGTTGCTGACTTACACAAGGTACCACCTTGGGATGCTCTTCTGCCTTTACATCGGGTATATCAAATGCCTGTAGGACTTCAGGGCTCCTGTGGCCAGTTAAATCAACATATCTTTCTCTCACAAAATCTCCTCTACACTCATCTGCTTTGCAATAAGCGCCTCGATCTTTCTGACAAACATGGCTCCGACAACAGAGATCTGCATCACCTGCTCCACCATGTCGCCTATAATCAATTTCCTCCTGTGGTCTTCCTTTGCCTTGATGTAGTGCCTTGCGAGGTTCTCTTTCTGAGTCTCTTAAATACCTCAATCCACCAACTGATCTTCCTGCACCATAGCAGAAACCCTAACAAGCAAAATAAATAATATAACTACAAAATTATTTATTTGTGCACCTATATCATATATATATATGTACATGTACACACACACATACATATAACCTAAAGTTTAAATGTAGCATATAACAAACTAGATTAAGTTAAAGTATTATTTAGGATGCCAATAACATTCACATGCACTTACAGTAATTTGATATGAAAAGATATAAACATCTTAAAAATGGTAGTTTACTTATGACAATCACATTCTTTGGGGGTAGGGGAGAATAGAACCAGAGTATTGATTTATGAAATCCCTCAATAGTTAACAGAATGTTTTCAATGAACTAGAAAAGAATAATTATTATTATTATGTTAATAGCCAGTATTTATATAGCACTTCCTATGTGTCAGGCACTGCTAAACACTTTACAATTATGATTTTATCTGATCCTCACAACAACCTTGTGAAGTAGAGGTTACTATTATCTCCACTGTACAGATGAGGAAACTGAGGCAAACAGAGGTCAAGTAACTTGCTTGGGGGTCACAGAGCTAAGAAGTGCCTGAAGTTATAGTTGAACTCAGATCTTCCTGACTCCAGGCCCAGCACTGTGGCACCCAGTTTCCAGCAGTTAAACTGATGACTAGAAATTTAAACTTTGTTAAAGCTTTATGAATTACATTTCTGTGTATTATCTAGAGTTGGCTTCCATTAAGCATATAGTTAAAGTATACATTTAAGATTATTTGTTTAAAAGTATATATAGATATAGCCATAGCCCAGCACCCTACATTCTGGGGCCTTTTCAAGAATTTACAAACGTCCCTTTTTAGCTCATGTACTCACCTAGAATATCATTTGAGAATACCAGAATATACAGACATATAGATAGAGATATATAGATCTCTCCAGGCATGTGTAAAAGGAACCCTGATACTCCTATGCAAGTACACTGTGTGTAGGATGTCCAGAAAGTCTTAGTGCAGTCTTAGTGCAGTATTAACCTTTAATATCTTAAACCTTCTTTCTAACTCTAAAATGCCAAGATTCTGATGGGATAGAAATAAGTATAATAAGCAAAGTTCTGTTTCAGAAAGCTGTGCATGGCTGGATGAAGACCAGTGTTTTTATAAAACAAAGTCTTGCCCTTACCCCTCCCCACCAAGAGGAAAAGATTCTAATTTCCATCTGGATGTCCTAAAGGCATCTCAAATTCAACATCACCCACACAGCACCCCCGCCCCAAGTGCCTTCTCACCCCCAAATTACCTTCTATTTTGCATATATATATGTGCACACATTAACACCAACACACTTGTTACCTCCTTAGCTAGACTGTAAACTCCTAAAAGCAGAAAACTGTATGCATCACTTCTGTCTTCGTATCTCTAGCACTCAGCACACAGAATGACACACAGGAACATAAGAAATGCTTGCTGATTGGTTGACTGATTTCATCTGTACCAATTTACCAAGTTCAAATGGCAAGTTTGCAAGTAAAAGTGATCAGAACTCATTTCTAAAACTTCAAAAAGCAAACTATAAAATTACTTGCTTTTAAGACAAAAAGTGTTAAGTGTAAATGCAAATGAGTCTAACCTACTTTATCAGATTATTTATTCTAGACATTACTTATCAACTTATACTATTCTGCAAACAACACTAGCACAAATTTTTAGCATTGTTTTTACTCTCAAAGCCTGAGTGGCAACAACGTCATATACTAACCAGCACAGCCAGAGCCATGATGGCCAACACTGGAATGTGAAGTATCACTGGTATCTCCTTCATAAGCGCTCTCAAAAACTCCCCAGCTCCTTGCCCGATATGCTTCAATGGCTCCGTTACAAAGTTGGTGAAAGTGACTGCCAATGCCTGTGACAACAGATGTTCATTAGCGACACTGATTATGCTCTTTACCAATGACAAATGTAAACAGAGTAAGCCAGAGTCACTGGGTATCTGCACTAAAATCAGATGACCTTTGTTAGCGTGGCCACATGCAAACCAGCATCGATATAAAAATGATTTTGTTACTTGAAATTAGAGTGACCTTTAGGCAAGTCAAAGCTTCCTGGTGGAAAGACTACACAGGGACTCTTGACCCAGCCTGAAAAAGTAATTTTTATAAAGTATATTCTATACCTTTGTTGGTGGAACCAACCAAATAGGGTTAACTAATAGCAGCTCATAGTACTTTTGGCAAGGATCATCTCGAAACGTCCATGAACTTCTAAACCATTCTATTCAGGGAACAGAAAAGAGAAAAAAGAAACTAAATTTTAATAAAGTAACAGGTTTCACTATTTTCAACTGTTCCATTTTGGTTTTATTCTCCCCTCTTCATTTTCAGTTCTATATAACTTTTCAACAAGTTTCCCAATATTCCTAATTTTCTTCTTAGTTTCTACTTGTTTGCTAGTGGGTTCCAAGATTTGGTACTTCTTAACTGAAAATGATTCAGAAGTCTCAACGTCAAATTCCCAGTGCTAGGGTAAAATAAGGGCAATGCACACATACAATCAATCAGTAAGGTAAGAAGAACCTTATTGAGAAAGGGGATATGGTTCAAGGAGTAGCAGTGACAACGGCTGTGCTGGATCAAGTCAAAATTCATCCAAAGGGCTGGACGGGAAGTGACACAGAGTTCATGGGAACAGCCTAAAGACAAAACACTCTGCACAGGAAGCACACACTATGGTTGGCAAAGGGAAAAATGGATGGTTTCACACAATCTCTCTGCCCAAGTTTCTTCTTCCATGGCAATGGAGCCATGAATAAATAAGCCTTGAAAACAAGGCGTTTTTCATCAAATTGGATGCATATAATTCTAAATGAGAAACACAGGGTACTAACTCACACTAATTTTTCTAAATAGCTCATTTTAGATAAGAACATTCAGTCGTTTCAGTCACGTATGACTCTGTGACCCTATTTGTTTTTTTTGGTTTTTGCAAAGACACTGAAGTGGTTTGCCATTTCCTTCTCCAGCTTTTTACAGATGAGGAAACCGAGGCAAATAGGGTTAAGTAACTTGCCCAGGGTCCTGACTCAGGTCCAGCACTCTATCCACTGTACCACCTAGCTGCCCCTTAGATAAGACTAGCCCTCTGAAAAGAAAGCAATTTTGTATTCATTCTATATAGAAGTAGAGTTGTATTAAATTTAATCACCCACGACTATTTTCTAATACAGTGGATTTGGACACCTTGATTTGAAATATGTGCTGAATTTAACAAAGTCCCAAAAGTTAAACCATTCCTATTTTCAATCAATCTTCCAACACAAATAGTATATTTATAAGAATGTTTTTCATGGTTTGACTCTAATAAATAGCTTCAGGCCAAGATTTTACATGTTGTAATACTTTGATACTGCATCTGTATCAGCATTCTTTCCCCACTGATATTGATCAGACTCTTTTCTTTCCTTTCTCCTGACATCACAAAGGTCAGTCCTCAACCCAACTTGAGGACATAGTCAACATGGTGAAGTCCTTTCTCTAAGTTTTTTTATTATCTAAGGCGTACCAGTGTAGCTAGCACTCAGGATTTCGACCTGTTGTTTCTCGTGCTCACCACAACTGGCCCACCTCCTTTTCCTACCATTATATCCATGATTAAGTCTTCTTCTATGCCATTTTGTGCATGACAGTCATTGTGGGTAACATGTTGCACCCTATTTACACTCATTATGAATCTTTCCCTTACCACCTGGCTTACTTGTAACTCTAATTCTGTGGAGATCATGTTGTTCCATGATTTTCAGCCAAAGCGACCCACCAGGAGAATTCTGATTGTTAAAGACATTGGCTTGTGTTGGCATAATCAGCCATCACTGAAAGTATTTCAAGTGAGTTCAGTCTCCTCTTCCTGGTCAATTTTGGACCCAGATATACATATTAATGGACTAACTCAATGGGTCATTCATCTAGCTGTATGTCAGAGTCTGAGTAATATGTATTTTTCATTAACTTGATTTTTTCAACCTGGATAATTAGAATGATCTCTTTTGCATTTCTGTGGATTTCACCATGAGGCTTTAATGTGTCTCAATGTGATGAAATTAATACAATATACTAATGATGCTGACGATGATAGCTTCTATATAGCGCCTACTATATACCAGCTGCTTATTTCACTTGCCAGTGAGGCACAGTGGCAGGCATGGTGGAAACAGCATTTGACTGGGCTCTCCCACTTACCAGCTGGAGACCTTCCTTGCTTTCTTCAGACATCACAAAGATATCAGGGGAGCACTCTAGCTATCCATCTATCACCCCTCACCCCTTTCCTGTTGATTTCCAGGCCCAACTCATTATCTACCTGTACTCTATGTCCCAAAAACACATGCCCATGAACAAGCTCTATAGTTCTCCATCTAAATATATGTCATAATCTGGAGAGACATTCTTCATCCACTTGGTCTTTCCTACATGAACAGTTAAGTCAAACTCTTTTGAGTAGTTACATCTCCTAGAGAAGGCTCTGCAATGTTCCATGGCTTATAACCAACATAATCTCATTTAAAACAGAATCATGGAGGGCTTCACTCTCCACAGAGAAACAATCTTCAACTTGGACTGTGTGAGATAGATCTCTTCCATTAACCCATGAAACAAAAATTCTAGACAACTGTCGGTTCTAAATCTCAAAAGGAATTAGTAAGAAACTTTTACAAACTTAAAAAGTCGATTCTGGCTTTTAGCAATTCCAACAAAACGACCATGATTCCCATATCCTTCTCTTTGAAAAGTGCTAAGGCAAACAGAGGGTCTCACCAAATAGGCCTCCAACCCAGTCCATCTTCTCAGCACAAACATTGTTTAATGGTTCCAATTTGGCAACTTCAGCCTGATGTTTTGCAAAGGCTAACTAATAAAGACAGATAGGAAAGTTTTTAACTGCTCATAATAATCATAATCATAATCATAATCATAATCATAATAATAAAGATACCATTAAGTAAACTTCCTAATACATTTCAATCATTTTTATTTAAAAAAAACCACTCATTCCATCATTATAAATCCAAAGTATGTTTTAAAAGAAATAAAGAAAAAAAAAGGTCTATTATTTCTAAAACAAAAACATTTGTTATTCATTCACTATAAGAACATATTTCAATTGCATTTAGGTATATTTAAAATCACTAATCACAGAGGTCACTATATGACTTTTTCTGGTGTTATCTATGTGATAAAGATGAAAAAAATGAAAACTTATTAAGAGAAAGCTTCAAAAACTAACTGGAAAAAACCAACTAGGTCAAAAATGTTTAACAAATGACTATTTTACATTACCTTATATAAATAGATCCAATTCCATCCAAAACTGACAAGGAAACTGATGAATAAAACACGTTTTAACTGAGTATACCAACGAATATATGTCCATAATTCAGTAGCTATTAACAAAACAATGCACAACAAACACAGAAGTACCTAGAAAACAAAGGAAATGGAAGTTGAAGTCAATATTATGGAAAGACTCCCCTATTCCCAAAATCTTATGGTTCACAAAATGAAAAAATTTTGACATTACTCAACTGGCTGCCTACTTGAGATATACATCTGGATACTGCCCCAAAAATTTAAACTCAACATATGTTCATCAACCAATGAACACACATTCATTAAGCACATACTACAAGCAAGGCTCTATGCTAGGTAGTCAGAATACAAATGCAGAAAATACAATAATCCGTATTCTGTAATGAAGACAAGTGTATACACACATATACATATATATTCATATGTGTATATGTATGTATGTGTATACATATACATAAATATATATGTATACACAGAGAATAAGGAAAGTCTACAAATGCAAACAAATACAAAGCAGTTAAATTCAGTGGAGTCTGGGAGGGAGGGATTCAGCAGCTTCGGGACAGCAGGAAAGGTTTCATATACAAAGTCATGTTTGAGCTGTGTTGAGGGAAGAAAAGGACTCAGGTAGAAGTGAGAAGGAAGTATATTCCAGGCAGGGAAGGCAACCAGTACAAAGACACAGAAATGGGAGATGGAGCGTGTGAGGCAGAAGGCTGAGGGTTGAGAAAGGCTGTCAGATTTGGCAATTAAGAGACAGCTGGAGAAAGCAGTTTTACTGGTAAGATCAGAGACCAGATTACAAAGTGTTGAGGAGGAAGTCAGAGAAGAGACATAAGATGACAGCTTGAGGCTAGGGTAGGATCAACTGCACATTTTTTAAGAATGGGAGAGATCTGGGAATGTATGAAGACAGTTAAAAGGAAACAACAGTCAGAAAAAGGCTGAAGATATGATAAACAGCAAGAAGAAATGACAGCTAGAGAATACTGGAGGGGGTAAGATTAAATACACATGTAGTGGAGCTAGCTCTGGCAAGAAGAAAGGCCACATCTTTGCCAGAGATGAAGAGAATGGGAAAAGAGGAAACACAGAATGATGCCCTCAATTTTCTCAGAAATACTCAAAACATAATTCATTACCTTCCTCCCTACCCTAACTGCTAATCTTTATTTCCCTATTTCTGCTGAGGTCATCACCATTTTTTTCCAGTCCCTTTACATGACATTCCACCTTCAACTTCTGTGCCTTCCCACAAAAGCTATCCCCCATATCTGGAATACTCTTCCTCTGAACTGTTAATTCTCAGAACCCCTAGCTCTTTTTCAAGGTGATGATGATGATGATGATAAGGAGGAGGAGGAGGATAATAGCAGTTAGCACTTACATAGTGTTTACTATGTGCCTCGTTAGCATTTTTATGGTGCTTACTATATGCCAAGCACGGCACTAAGCAATTTACAATTATTTCATTTGATCTTCACAAAATCCTGGGAGAGGGGTGATATTATCCCCATCTTACAGTTGAGGCAACTGAGGCAAAAAGAAGTGACTTGCTCAAGGTCACACAGCTGGTAAGTGTGAGACAAAATTTGAACCTCAGGTCTTCCTGACTCCAGGCCCAGCACTCAATCCACTGTACCACCCAGATAACAGCTGTGAATTGGTGCAGTCTTTTTGGAAAGCAATATGATATTATATATTAATGATTACAAAACTGTTTGTACTTTTTACTTTTATATATTTGAATGTTTTGTTGACGTTTATTATTTTATCATAAAAAGTAAAGAAGTAAATTCCTTACTCATCTTACCATGAATACATTATATGGATCCACACCAAAGGTTGTCTCAAAACTCCATTTCCAGGTCTTGAAATTATGAAATTTAAAATTAATCAGGATTTCACTTAGTGCATCATCTAAGGCTCCTGATTTCCAGTCCTCTCCACTGAGAAACTTCTGGATTTCTAATAATGTCTCTTTTTTAAGGATAACCTCAGCATCATAATGCATATCTCCTCTGTCCTCACTGGGCTGAATAAAAGAGTGAAAAAAAAAGTAAAAAAAAATTTAATACGTGCTATTTTATCAACAATTTTATATTAGAATATCAGTCAATAAGAAACATTTGGAAGATATATTGTAATTTCACTTATAAATTAATCCCAGAATATTTACAGATCTTATTTTATAACAAAGCAAATCTAGAGGTAACATTTTCCTGTGAACAGCAAGAGATAGAAAAAGAAATTCCATTTAGAGTTACTGTAAACATCATAAAATATTTAGAAGTCTACCTGCCAAAACAAACCCAGGAACTAACTATACGAACATAATTACAAAACACTTTCCACACAAATAAAGTCAGATCTAAATAACTGGAAAAACATCAGTTGCTCATGGGTAAGCCAAGCCAATATAATAAAAGTGTCAATTTTTCCTAAGTTAATTTACTTATTCAGTGCCATACCAATCAAACTACCAAAAAATTATTTTATAGAGCTAGAAAAAATAACAAGATTCATATGGAAGAACACAAGGTCCAGAATATCAAGAGAACTAATGAAAAGAAATGCAGGGAAAGGTGGCCTAGCCACTCCAGATCTTAAATTGTATTATAAAGCAGCAATCATCAAAACTACTTAGTACTGGCTAAGAAATAGAGTGGTGATCAGTGAACAGGTTAGGTACACAAGACACAGTAGTCAATGACTATAGTAACCTACTGTTTGATAAACCCAAAGACCCCAATAAGAATAAGAACTCACTATGTGACAAAAACTGCTGGGAAAACTGGAAAAGTGTATAGTAGAAACTAGGCACAGACCAAAATCTTACACCCTATACCAAAATAAAGTCAAAATGAGTACACAATTTAGATATAAAGGCTGATACTATAAGCAAACTGGGAGAGCAAGGAATAGTTTACTTGTCAGATTTATAGAGAAAAGAAGAATTTATGACCAAACAAGAGTTAGAGAACATTATGAAATGCAAAATGGATAATTCTGATTACACTACATTGAAAAATTTTTGGCACAAAGCCAATGCAACCAAGATTAGAAGGGAAGCAGAAAACTGGGAAAGAATTTTTACCACCAGTGTCTCTAATAAGATTCTCATTTCTAAAATATATAGAGAACTAAGTCAAATTCATAAGAATACAAGTCATTCCCCGATTGATAAATGGTCAAAGGATATGAATAGGCAGTTTTCAGATGAAGAAATTAAAGCTGTAGTCATATAAAAAATGCTCTAAATCACTACTGATTAGAGAAATGCAAATCAAAACAACTCTGAGGTACCACATCACACCTATCAGGTTGGCTAACATGACAAAACAGGGAAATGATAAATGTTGGAGAAGATGTGGGAAAACTGGAACACTAATGCATTGTTGGTGGAGTTGTGAATTGATCCAACCATTTTGGAGAGCAATTTGGAACTATGCCCAAGGGCTATAAAAATGTGCACACCCTTGGATCCAGCAATAGGACTTCTAGGGCTGTATCCCAAAGAGATCATAAAAAAGGGAAAAGGACCTACATGTACAAAAATATTCATAGCAGCTCTTTTTGTGGTAGCAAAGAATTGGAAATTGAGAGGATGCCCATCAATTGGGGAATGGTTGAGCAAGTTGTGGTATATGAATGTGATGGAATACTATTGTGCGATAAGAAATCATGAACAGGCTGACTTCAGAAAAACCTGGAAAGACTTGTATGGTCTGATGCTGAGTGAAGTGAGCAGAACCAAGAGAATGTTGTACACGATAACAGCTACGTTGCATGATGACTAATATTGATAAACTTAACCCTTCCTGGCAATACAAGAATCTAAGACATCTCCAGAGGCCTTGTGATGGAAAATGCTATCCACACCCAAAGAAAGAACTATGGAAGCCGAATTGCTAATTTTTTTCTCTTCTATTGAGTTTTGTTTCTTCTTTCTGATGGTTCCTACTATTGGTTTTAATTTCTACTTACAATATCACTAATGTGAAAATATGTTTAATATGAATGTAAAAAAAAAAGCTAACATTCTAACAAGGGAGACAATATAAAAAATGTAAAGTGGTACATATGAGAAAAATACAGAGTAGATGGAAAGTAGACTCAGAGGTTAAGGAGGAGGATAACACCACAGAGGGAAGAGTCACAAGCAAAACAATTAAAAGGAGGTTGGGAGACAAACAGAACTAGAATCTAAAGGGATACCTCAGATTGCCTCTTAGACAAAAAAGGAATGGCTGAACAAACTGTATATGAATATAATGGAGTATTACTGCACCACAAGAATGACAGAAGAGGCTATTTCAAACTGGGAAGCAGCACGATTAACAAGGTGAAGTGAGTAGAACCTGGAGAACAATTTATACAAGGACAACAGCATTGTAAAGAAAAACAACTCTGAAAGACTTAAGAACCTTATCAAAGCAGTGACCAACCCAAGTCTTCAGAGGACCTAGGATGAAGCTTGTTAAATCCACAAGGGGTAGACTTTTGGACATGGACACTGTGTATGTATTTATTTTGCTAGGCTATATTTATTTGTTACAAGGTTGTTGTTTTTCCCCCTTACTCTTTTATTGGGAGGAAGGGGAAGAGAGTTACGAATAGCAATACCAAAAAAAAAAATCAGTAAGCTGTAACACTTTGTAAAATGCATAGAAGAAAATGAGGAAATTCAGAAGGAAACAAACTTAACAGTTTTAAAAGAACTCAAAAATTTATTATATATATATTTTAAAGCAAGTGGTATGAAATGGAGATTTATGTTTTAATACAGAATCCACTTTTGGTGTTCTGTGTGAATGGAAATGCCCTTTTCTGGGGTGTTTAAGTCCAGGAAAAAAAATTTTTTAAAGCATTATCATTAATCAGAAGTATCTTTACATTTTGGACTCAGCATCATGCTTGTTACTAATATGTCTAATGCCAACCAGTGTAAAACCTGTCATCTTTATTCATTTGCCAACTTCTGGTGAAAAATCCAATTTTAAAATGCTTTCATAAAATTTAAAAATAATACTCAATAGCATCACGTATCTTGATTTTTGATTCCCTAATCTGAAAAGTTTTAGGGAAGCTAACATTATACAACAGCTTGGTTTTCACATCTTATTAATTTGTATTAGTGATTCTATAAAGCAATAGCTACCATATTTAGCAGCAGGAGGAAAAAAACTATTTAAAGAACTGATTTTTTTTTCAACTTTTTTTAAACTACATAATGACTTTACTGCACATGACCAACAAAGTGTTGAAATAGTAAAATCAAGAAAAGTTAAGACTAGAACCCCACTGAAGCCTATTTAGAAAAGTCATCCAAAGTTTTAAAACAGTCCAAAATACTATCCCAACTTTATCTATTTATTCTCTTACATGTGAACAGACTAAAATGCACAAACACACATGAAATAAGAGGGAAATGAATGTCTAGATTCACTGATTCAGTAGTAAAAAGGAAATTAAATTTTTTCATCCTGTGACACAATAAATTAAAAAGATGTAACAGCCTCTGCTTCTTTAGACTTTCCTTTTAGTAATCTTTCCATATTATTATAATTTACCAAGAATAAAATATTACATTGACTAATGCAACAATTGCCAAATACTCACAAGTCCAAGTTTTCCAGCTTCAATTAAAATCTTATTTAAGTATCTCCTGAAAACATGATTACTCTGGCTTTCGTAGTCTTTCCTTTTTTTCTTTTCACACTCATTAATCTGTAATCATATGTTAAATTCTAGATTAGTTTTCAACAATATTTAATAACAAATAATGGTGAAATTTCTAATCAAGCACATTAAACAAAATAATGTTAAGGTGACCCAAAAAATAATTTGTAATGCTTATACTTATGAACCATACCATCAGCATGTAGCCTGCCAGCCCCATAAGTTTCAGAATTTTTTCATGCAAAGGGAAAAATTAAGTTAACATGCAAGAAGAAAACTCAGCAGTCACTGGCCAACATTTTTTGTTTTGTTTTCCTCCTATCAGCTTCTGATTAAACAAACAAAATCTATTCTAAAAGAATCTGTCAGATTATGAATAGGGAAAGCAGATCCAGTAGCAGTAATAATTATAACAATAATAACAGCTAGTATTTCAATAGTGCTTACTTTACACGTTATTTCATTTGATCCTAACAATTCTATGAAGGAGGTGTTATAATTTTATCCCCCTTTTACACGTGACAAGGAAGTCGAGAGAAGTTAAGGGCCCTGCCTGGGTTCATAGTGCTATTGATCCTGGAGGGCTCCAAACAAATCCCCTTGAATAGAGGGCCCACTGCGCCAACACCCACAAGCTCCCTCTATTCCTTACACTACCAGTTCTCTCTTCATAGAGATGACTACTGAAATACACAAATACAGAGTTCATGGAATGTTGGTCCACTTCCACCCTGGCTGCCAACTCACTGGCTGAGAATTGTGGGAGTTTTTGGAGGCTGAATGTATTTACCAATTTTTTTTTTAACAGTTTTTGATTCAAAGCCATAAAATCTAGAACTAAGAAGTTTTTGTGAAATTGTCCCTTTTTGTCTTAAAGGATTACTTTTATTAAAAGTCTTTAATTCTAGATTTTATGGCTTTGAATCAAGGCAGCCTGGCATAAGAGCTAGTCATGCAACCTCTCAATGCACTGGGAACTGTCCAAGGCTGTAAATAGCAGAGATGGTGCTAACCTACACTGAGAGAAGGAGTTTTGCTATTCCAGTGAAATTACAGTTCTGGTCCCTATCCTTTTTCTTTTTAGTTGCACTGTATATTTGTTAACATGTAGCCATTTGCTACATATTCTCTTATTCTCTATACTAACACAACAAATTTTCAGGGTAATTTTCAAATTATCAAACAAGTTAAATTTCATATTTTCACATGAAGGTAACTGAATTTTTATTGAAGATTTAATAATAGCACCATAAGTACCAAATAAATATCTGCTGAGATAAATTCAATTGTATGATTTGTTTCAGAACAGAGCTGAATTATCTATTCATATAAGCTAGTAATAAGCCCATTCTAATTAATGATCAAGAAATAAGTGGCTAGAAACAAATTCCTGAGAGAAATTTCACATTAACATAGAAGTTCTGAATGAAAGATTCTAACCTTGTAAGTTAAAGAATCAAGTCTGTTATAACATTCTGACATTTCATCAGCACATGACAAGTTGGAATCTGTAAGACTTATTTCCTTTTTCTCTGGTTTTCCATAGTTCACCTATAACAAAACAAACAAAAGTTTCAGTTTTTTAGAATCACAGTATCTCAGAGTTGGACCATCTAATCCAAATTCCTCAACTATGGAGAAATTCCATCTGGCCTCTACTTGAACAATTCTAGTGATGAGATACTAACTACATAACAAGAGCAATTTTCTACACACCTCACAGGATTGTTGAGGAGTTCAAATGAGATGTGAGCAAAATGCTCTGTAAATCTTAAAGTGTAGGGGCACCTAGGTAGAGTAGTGGATAGAGCTCCAGCCTTGGAGTCAGGAGGACAGGACCTGAGTTCAAATTCGACCTCAGACACTTGACACTAGCTGTGTGACTCTGGGCAAGTCACTTAACCCCAACTGCCTCACCAAAAAGCAAAAAAAAAAAAAAAAAAAAAAAAATCTTCAAGTGTTCAAATAACTAGCAGCTACTGTTAATAAGGCATCCCTTTTCGTTCTGAGGTAGTTCTTAAATTTGAATGTTGAGAAGCTTTTAATCAAGTTCAAAGTTTCAACAACATGATTTTGTAAATGGATTTTATTAATACTCTTCAACAACTTCTACTCTCAAATACAAGTTAAGAATAATAGAATATCCCAGAGCTGACATCACTTATTTTCATGAATGCATGACTGCACACATATAACCTAGATTAAACTGCTTGCCTTCTCAATGAGGGAAAAGGGAAAGGAAGGAGGAGAGAGAAAATCTGAAACTCCAAATTTTAAAAAATGAATGTTAAAAATTATTTTAACACATAATTGGGGGGGAAATATTAAATAATTTTTAAAGAGCTTATTTTTACATGCAAACCCAGAAATAACCAGGTCAGTTTTAAGAACAAACTAATGACCTGACATTGAATCCAATTCAACAAACATTTATTCAGTATTTAATCTGTATAAGGCACCTATGCTAGGTGCTGGGAATAAAAAAATTAAATGGAAAATTATCCCTGTCCTCAAGGAGTTTACTTCTACTAGGCACAGATAATACTCAATTCAGTGCTCTCATAGCCCTAGATAGTTGGAATATTCATACTATAAAATGAAAGTGTATCCCCCTCTCTTTCACACATACACATACACACACACACACACACACAAAGATTAAGATACCTGAGGAGCTTTTCTCATTGTTCCAGAAGCAGCATCATAATTAAGCATATCTGTGGGATCAATCCATTCATCATCTTGAGCATAACCAGGTACCATTAACAGAAATATACACAAGAGCAAAGAATTCAGCATCATGAAAAACCTAAATAAAAACATCCACATGCATTACTTAAAATGATTTTATTAAAGAAAACATGGTTTAATTCTTTCTGATTTTAAGTTTCTTTTTCAATCCATTTAACTAAAGAACACAGAAAAAGCCTACCTAATACTAGATTAACATAGATATGAATTAAAAAAAAATTTGTATCATTAGTAAAAATACGGCCTAAGAATTCATTACAGAATGAAATTGAGGGCCCTCCTAAATGGAAAGATGAAAAAAATGAGAAAACCTGAGACTAGCATTTAAAATGTAACAAAGAACAAAACAATTAACATGAATCACTTAGGTGTGTCAACTGAACTGAACCAGCCTCTAACCTGTGGATGGCCAAAGCAGGCTAGAGACAGGAAAGTCAGGAATCAAACAGAGGTTTAATTTCAAGGTGAGGGAAACAGCTCTCAAGCAAGGACATGTGCTGGAGTGGTGGTGGTGTGAAGATCTAATAGCTAAGTCTTCAACAATCTACAAAGTAACCCATCTGGGAAGATGATATAATGAGTGGTCACAAGGAAGCAAAGTTCCCTAAAGAAATAATTGCTTTTCTACAGTTACTAAGCTGTGCGTATGCTTGGACCCAATGATATCATTACTAGGCCCATGCCTAAAAGAGATCAAAGAAAGAGAGGAAAAGGACCTATAAGGACAAATAGATTTATAGCAGCTCTTTTGTAGTTGCCCCAAACCGGAAACTAAGGAGGTGCTCACCTACTTCAAAATGGCTGCATAGATTGTGGCAAATGAATATGGTAGAATATTACTGTGCTGTAAGAAATAACAAAAACGACAGCTTCAGAGAAAACTGGGCAGCCCTCTGTTCATAGAGTTAATACACAATGCTAACGACATTATAGAAAAAAATAACTGTTGGAAGTCTGATCAATGCAAAGATAAACCACAAATCCAAAGAACTCTAGATAAATGATGCCACCCACCTCCTACTAGAGAGGTGATGAACTTGAAGTCCAGAATGAGACAGGTATTTTTGGACATAAATAATATTTTTATTATTAAGAGCAACGGTAATAGCTAGCATTTATGGCACATATCAAGGTTTGCAAAACACTTTACACATATTAATTTCATTTTATACTTCTAACAACTCTGGGAGTTAGGTATTATTATTCCAACTTTATAGATGAGATAACTGAGGTACCTGAGGCTAGTCTGGAACTCAGGTTTTTGAGGTATCTGAGACTAGATTTGAACTCAGGTTGTTTTGTTTTGTTTTGTTTTTGACTCCAGGTCCATTACTCTATTCACTGTGCCACCTAACTATTTCTGATGTGGAAATTTGTTTTGCTTGGTAAAACTGTGTAGGCTTCTTGTGATGATTTAAAAAAATTGTTCAATGAAGGAGAGACCATAGAAAGAAGAGATAGTAAATGCTTGTATAAGTAAATAATTTTAAAGTAGCAACAGGATCAACAAAAAGAAATAAAATTGCTAGAAAGTTTTAGTGAAAAATCAAAGCTCACCCAATAGACAATGTGTTCTAGTATTTAAAAAATTATGGAGAATGAAAAGCTAAGGAAAATGAAATTGTTACTAAAATATTATCCAGAGTTGCATCAGAAACAATGCAAGAAATTCTGACAGATGCATTCAAATGGATTTCAATAGTAATCAAGCAATTAAAGGATGAATAAAATTATCTAACAGAATCTGAAGAATTAACAGAAGAAAAGAATACAATATAATCAAGATGGAAGAGTGAGATTTTAGAAGAGGGCCTGGCTCACATACTCCTCAAAAAAGCAACAGAAAATTCCAAAAAAGGAAAACATCTTTAAAACTATGCAAGAGAATAAAAATCAACTATCATAGAAAATGAGCACAGAAAAATATTAATATAATACACATATACATGGATACATGTATCTATTTAAATATGGAGTAAGTGAAACAGCTAAGGTTATAGTGGAAAAGAATAAATATGGAAAAAGAAACAACAAAAACATCTGAGAGATACCCTCAATGGATGAGACTTTTAAATAAATTAATAAGCATGTAAAAATTAACACTAATTTTTTTAAAGAGTCAAAAGAACAAATAAAAAGCAAACTCAAAAAATTCATGGGGGAACTAAAACTGGATGAACAGAATCACAGAATTATAAAGTTCTTCAGAACCTTTTCTAGACTATCCCACACTTGAAAAAGAATGTCCTCTATAAATATACCCAAGAATCCAGCCCTTTATCTGAAGATTTCCAAGGAGGAAGACCCCACTACCTCCAAGGCAACCCATTCTAGTTTGTTCTGTTTGTTAGTTTTTCCTTAGTTACAAGCAAGTAAATGGTATGCAGTGGTTGTAACACTGGGGCAGGAGTGAGGAAGACTCGAGTTCAAATTCTGCTTTAGATACTATATGACCCTGGGCAAGTCACTTAACTTCTCTCAGTTTCTTTAACTGTAAAATGGGGATAATAATAGCACCTACCTACCAAGGTTGTTGTGAGGATCAGATGAAGTATCTGTAAAGTTCTTAAAGCATAATATAAATGGAGTCATTTTTAGCATAGTGCTTGGCACATAACAGGCGCTCTCTCTACACGTGTGTGCATATGTGTGTATTACTGTTATTCTTTCCACAAAACCAAAATGTATCTCTCTGAAATGCCCAGCCCACTGTTCTTAATTCTGACCAGAGTCAAGCAGAACAAAATTAAACCCTCTTCCATGGGACTGCCTTTCTTCTTTTTTTTTTTTGATAGGTGAGGAAGTCAGGAAGACCTGAGTTCAAAACCAGCCTCAGACACTTACTAGCTGTGTGACCCTGGGCAAGTCACTTAATCTCTGTTTGCTTCAGTTTCTTCATCTGTAAAATGGGAACAATAATAGCACCTACCCATCAGGGTTGTTGTGAGGATTGAATAAGATAGTATTTCTAAAGAGTTATAAAAATCTTAAAGTGTTATATAGATACTAGCTATCAGTCAAAAGCTGACAGATAACTCAGCTGAAAAACAAGATCAGAAAATAATCTAACTAAAAAAAGTGTTTTGGAATCAATTTAGGTGCATTTTAGGGGAAGAGCTTGGGGATAGAGGAAACTTCAGGATTACAGAAAATATAAAAAAAAAATTGTCAGAACTACTGACAACAAGCAAAATGCTACAAATACAAATAAGAAATGCTCTATAAAACTTCAACCAGGAGAAACTTAAAACACAACTCACCTAGATATGTCCTCATCAAATGTAAAAACAGATGAAGGAAAACAATCCTTTAAACTTCCAGAAAGGTAGCAATCACATATCAAAAATCATCAATCAGAATGTCACCAGATTTTTCTATAAAAAATAACAAATAACCAAAGAAATTATACTTTAAAACTTCAAAACATAGGTGGCTTTAATTCCAAGTTTCCCAGTAAATCTTAACTTTCTATTTGAAAGCAAAAGATAGATATTTAAAAACCAAAAAGGATCTCAAAAATTTATGGATAATAATACATAAATCAAAAGATCTTCTGAAGCTAAACTAGAGAGACCATAGGGATTTAACTGCCTGTTATAACTAATTATTTTCCCCCTCAACTTATAAGCCTTCATCATGAGTTAAAAATAACTAGAGAACTATATGATCAAATTATTGAATAATAGAGAGATTAAAAGGAGCAAAAGATGAATGGAAGGGCAAAAAGAAATAATAGAAATATAAAAACTAAAGAATAGACAAAAAGGAAAGGGGAAAGGAGTGACGGTGATCCCAAGGTAAAATTCCTTTTTTTTGAAAATGGGAGAAATGAGAGTTAGAGAGCCTTACAGATTAAATGTCAGAATTTTGTTTAGCAGTATTAGCTCTACTGCCAACACAGCTAGGTGGCACAGCGAATAGAGAGATAGACATGCAGTCAGGAAGACCTGAGCTCAAACCCAGCATCAGATACTCAGTAGCTGTGTGACCCTGGGCAAGTCATTTAACCTCTGTTTGCCTCAGCTTCCTCAACAGTAAAAGGGTTTAATAACTGTGCCTACTTCCTAAGATTTCTTATCACACTTATCACAGTGCTTGGAATACCGTGACATATAAATGCAAATTCCCTTCCTTCCCTAGTGCTGTTAAAAAGTAATTACCTGAAACATTTGGCATTAAATAAAACTGATCAATGGAACCAATTTGGAGAAACTAGAAAAACAAGCAAACGTAAACAAGATATTAGTGGTTGATAAAACCAAGATTATAAAACATTAGGAAGAAAAATCATTCAACAAAAATTATAGGCAATATTGGCTAGCAGCAAGGTGAAATATAAATCTGCATTAGCAGCTTACACTTTAATAAATTCCAGTAGGATCAATGTCCTGAACATTTTTAAATCATTAAAAATTTGTTAGAAAAAGGGATGCACTTCAATTATCAAAGAGAGACAAAAATATTTTAAAAATCTTAACTCACACATAGCTGGCTGGCTTATTTACTGATTCGTTCATTCTTTCATTTATTTATTGACAGGGTCTTTCCTTAGCTCTCCCAGGTTGGAAATGCAGCAGTTCACTCACAGGCCCCATTCCACTTCTGTCCAGTATAGTTATCATCTCAGTCAGTCTGCCCCTCTATGAACAGCCCTGGTGGCACCTAATCCCATAAACTCACGAAACTGGTGCTGAATTTAGGGAATATTCTGTAAACCAGCGTATTTAAGGTTTACAAACCATTTGACAGGCAAGTATAGTTATCCTCATTTTACATATGAAGAGAGGCCATGGAGATTCAGAGAGGCTAACAACTTACCCAAAGCTAGTATGTGATCAGACTGAGCTGGGATTTATACTCAAAGCCTCTTAGGTGCAAGAGTAGTGTTTTTTCCACTATGCCAAATGAAAGAAATTACTAGAAACAAAACTTAACCAAAATGATCATACTCTTTGATTCAATGATGCTCTGACAGCGTAGTTTCTTAATCTGGGGTCCATGAACTTGACTATTAAAAAAAATTAATAACTATTTCAATCTAATTGGTTTCCTCTATTAATTCTACTTTAAACATCTAAAAACCTTATTCTAAGAAAAGTGTCCATGGTTAAGAACTCCTGTACTGGAGTGACCATATCCTAATAGTGTAATTTTTATATATACAAATATACATACATACATACATACATATATCTTTTTGGTGAGGCAGTTAGAGTTTTAAGTGACTTGCTCAGGGTCACACAGCTAGTGTTAAGTGTCTAAGGTTAGATCTGAACTCAGGTCCTCCTGACTCCAGGGCTGGAGCTCTATCCACTGTGCCACCTAGCTGCCCCCAATAGTGTAATTAAAAGGGGAGAAAAAGATCTATCTACCTGTACAAAGCTAGTCACAGATTCTTTATTTGTATTCTTGAAAAATAAGACGATTTATGTGTCCAAAGACTGGGGAAAAGCTGAACAAATTGTTGTGCATCAATGTGGGGCTATTATGTCATTAAAAATGACAAACACCAGGAACATTAAAAAAATACAGAAAGGCTCATACAAAGAAATGCAAAGTGGAGGGAAGAACTGCATGATCCTCTCGAGGCTCCATGGATCATAAATTTAGAGATATTAGAAGTCATCTAACCCAACCATCTCATTTTACTCAAGAGGAAAACTGAGGCCTAGACAGGTAAAATGGCTTGCCCCAGGAAATACTATGTAAAACAGCTATACACTTTATTAGTACAGATTGAATCAGAGTTCAGAAGGTGAATTAAAGGATTTTTATCTTGTTAAAATTTACGTCAATCAATGAACATTTCTTTTTTTACTTTTTTTGGTGAGGCAATGGGCTTAAGTGACTTGGCCAGGGTCACACATCTAGTAAGTGTTAAATGTCTGAGGCAGGACTTGAACTCAGATCCTCCTGACTCCAGGGCTGGCCCTCTATCTACTTCATCACCTAGCTGACCCTCAATAAACATTTATTAATGGACTAAAATGTGCCAAGCACTGTGCTAGGTACTGTGGAGGCAAAAGACAGTCCCTGTCCTCAAGAAGCTTACAATCTAGCGAGGAAGACAATGTGCAAACAAATATATACAAAGCAAGGTATGTACAAGATAAACAGGAAATAATTAAGAAGGGGTGGGGAAGCCTTCCTATAAAAGATGTAATCTTAGTTGGGACTTAATGGAAGCCAGTAAAGTCAGTAGTCTGAGCAGAGGGACGGTAAGTGTTCCAGGCACAGGGAACAAGCAGGGAAAATGCTGAAAGCCAAGAGATGAAGTGTCTAGTTCCTAGGACAGGAGGCCAGTGTCACTGAATCTCAGAGAAGACAAAAAAAAAAAAAAGGAGGAGGTGGCTAGGTTATGAAAGACTTTGAATGATAAAACATTTTGTATTTGATCCTGGAGGCAACTGGGAGCCACTGGAGTTTATTTGGGGGGGGGGGAAGTGGGGGACAGACATGGTCAGACCTGAGCTTTAAGGTGATAACCAATCTGATAGCTGAATTGAAGATGGAGTGGAGAGAGCCTTGAAGCAAGCTGACCCTCCAGCAGCTAACTGTGGTAATCCAGGTGATGAGGGCCTGCACTAGAGTAGGCGCAGGGTCAGAGGAGAAAAGGAGGCATATTAGACTTTGCAGACGTGAAATCAGCAGGCATCGTCAACAAATTGGATATGGGGGATGAGATTTAGTGAGGAAGTCCAGGATGACTCCTAGGTTGTGAGCCTGAGGAACTAGGACGAGGAGGAAGATGCCGAGGACAGTAATAAGAAAGACAGAAGGGAATATGGTTTACATATCTTAAAAATATAGTTCCGATCATATGGCTTTATTTTTTCTTTCCTATTTTGTTGAGTTTTACAATGTGTGCAAAAGAATTTTTTTAAAAAAATCTATGGGTAGACTTTTATTTACTGGCCTCAAGCAGTAGATTAACATACTCTCTGCAAGAAACATACAGTATAAGGGGCAGCTAGGTGGTTCAGTGGAGAGAGCACTGGCCCTGCGGTCAGTTCAAAATCCAGCCTCACACACTTGACACTTTGTAGCTGTGTGGTCCTGGGCAAGTCACTTAACTCCAATGGGAGTGGGGGCCATAGAGTATACAGGGAGATGGAGGTCAGATATACCTAAATCAACTAGTCTTATGTACAGATAAATTCATTCATTTAATAAACATTTATTAAGCACCTACTATGTGCCAGGCACTATGCTATGAGTATAAGGGATAGAAAGATGAGTGGCCTGCAACTCAATTCAGATTTGACTAAATAAAGCTTTCAGTTAAAAATGAATAAACACTAAGGATATAGGAGGGATATGAGGCACCAAGATTGTAGTGGACGTTGGTTGACAATTCTCAAATGCTGGAAGCTTCGGGGAAGTTGAGAAGGTGCCAATCTGCCTGGGAAGCTGGGGTTTCCTCACTTGGGAGTTCCCTAGACTAAATGAAACCACAAGACCGGCCCCTAACCTTCGGGAGGCTGGGGAAAGTTGATTAATAAACGTTTCTTAATCGCTTACGTCCTATGCTAAGCGATGGAGATCCAAAAAGAGGCAGGAGGCAGCCTGCCCTGACAGAGCGCACCTTCCAGCCCAAGTAAAGGAGGGGTCTGAACGCCTCCAGGACAGGAGGGAGGAGAGGGGAGAGGGAAGGGGGAGGGAGAGAGGAGAGTGGGGGGGAATAGAGGGGGAGGGAGAGGGGGAAGGGAACTTCCTGCCTCTCCCTATTTCCCCTCAAGCTCTCCAACACCAACAAGCGCCGGAGTTGCGGACGTCAGGTCCCGTTCCCGCTTTTCGTGGGGACGAACGCCAAGCCCCGGGATCCCCTCGTCCCTCCCGGGCTTAATAAGCATGCCGGGGCCCCCTTCCGCGCCTTTCTTCTCCGGACCCTCCGCCGTCTGCTCTCGGAACGGCGGTCTGTGACCCCCGCGGGGCCAGGACCGAGCGAGGGGGGCTCGAGGCTCGGAGGGAGGCCGGGTTCAGGAGCCGGGCCCAGGGGGAAAGAGGGAGGCGGCGAGGGCTCCATGATAAACAAGCTCCCCCCAGATGGGAGCCCTCCAACCCTCTTACACCAGACGGATAAAAACGAGACACCGTAAAGAACGCCTTCCTCTCCCCCTCCTGGGTTTGCCCCCCGAGGGCCCGAGCGCCGCTGCCCACCCAGGGGTCCCAGCCTCGCGGCTCACGGCCTCCCCGGGGTCTCAAGAGCACGCAGGACCCGCAGACAAACATCCCCGACCCCACCTCGGCGCTTGACAAAAACAAACGCACCGGCCTCAGCCGCGGGTCCGACCAGCTCAGCCAGCGGGAGACTGACGGTTCGAAGGGGGCGGATCCCTTCTCCCACGCGCCCTCAAGGCCTAGGGCGTAGGGAGCGCCGAGCCATCCACCCACCTCATCGCATCGCATCGCATCGCATCGATGTGTTCCGCCTTCTCCCTTCCGCCTCAGATTCTGATGCTGTCAGGTTGGTACCTTCCCGTTGAGATTTGGAGAGCGCCCAGTATCGTAGAACCTTCTTACCCCCTTTTAAAAAAATGTTTACTAATTTATTTTAATTTATCAACAATCACTTCCATAAGCTTTTGAGTTTTAAATTTTTCTCCCCCTCCCTCCCCTAGACGGGCGCAGCAGTCTTATAATAGGCTCTACATACACATTCCTATTAAACATATTTTCACATTAGTCATGTTGTAAGGAAGAATTAGAACCAATAGGAGGAACCACAAGAAAGAGAAAACAAAACAAAAAAAACAAGGAAAAAAAGAGCAAATAGTATGCTTCGATCTGCATTCAAACTCCATAGTTCTTTCTCTGGATGTGGATAGCATTTTCCATCATGACTTTTGGAGATGTTTTAGATCCTTGCATTGCTGAGAAGGGCTAAGCCTATCAAGGTTAGTCATCGCACGACGTGGCTGTTACTGTGTACAACTCACTTCATTCAGCATCAATTCATACAAGTCTCTCCAGGTTTTCCTAAAGTCCACCTGCTCATCATTTTTTGTAGCACAATAGTATTCCATTACATTCATATACCACAACTTAGAACCTTTTTTTAATCAAAATTTTTCTTACAATTAATAAGCATTTTTTTCTCTTCCTCTCACATCACCCTCATGAGGAAAAAACCCAAAATAACACACATTAAGCACCTCCTATGTGCCAATATAAAAAATATGCATAATCAAAACGAATTCCCATACTGGTCATGTCCAATATTGACTCTCTTGATTAGGCAGTCTTATCAGTTCTGTAGAATCATGGTTAATCATTGTGTTGATCAGTTTTTAAGGCTTTCAAAGTTGTTTTTAATAATGTATTTATTGTATAAATTTTCTCCTGGTTCTCCTTACCTCATTCAGCCAGAATCAACAATCCAATAAACACTGATTAAATGCTGCCTATGTGCCAGGGAGTGTTAAGCTCTGAGGATATAACTGATGATTAAAAAAAAAAAAAAAGACAGCTCGTGCCCCCAAGGAGCTTTCAATTTAATTCGGGGAGACAACACACAAAAGGAAGGTGGAAAGAGGGATGGGAATGAGGTAACACGGGCATCTTGTTCTGTGGAGTTGAAACCAGGTACAGCAGCAGATACAGAGTAGTTTCTGCACTTTATATATAAAGGAAGGCATTGGAGGAAGCTGAGGGAGGTGGTGACCAGAATCAGAATGTTGAGCTGAAAGGAACCTTAAAGGTCATAGGGTCCAAACCGCCCCAGCAGAGGGTAAGACCTAGCAGCAGTAGGGAACCTGTGGTCCCATGTGGCCTTGAGGCTGCAGGTTCCCCACCCCTGTGAGACTAAGTGACTCAGTTAGACAAACATAACCAACTTTTTGGGTGTCGTGGCTCCCAATGGCAGTTTGGAGAAATCTATGGACCCCTTCTCAGAATAATGCTTTTAAATTAATAAAATAAAATATATAGGATTAGAAAAGAAACCAGTTATATAGAAATACATGTACCAAAACATTTTTTAATAAAATAAATGCACAAACCCTAAATTAAGAACCTCTGTGCAGTTAGCAGACTTTTATATGATTTAGAGTTTGTAAAGCAGCTTTTCATAGGTCTTTCCCATCTTTACCCCACTAGAAATCTTGGACTTTGCTCATGGGACATCAGTCTCTGACAGATGAGCTCTTGACTTTTCCTGCTCAGAACTGGACCTCCACAACCCTTTCATCCATCCATCCCCACACCATGCTGTTTCCACTCTACTTAGTGTTCTTATCTCCCCTTTCCTCCCTTCCAATTTTAAATTTCTACCCCTGGGATGCCTAGTTCTAATAGATGAGCTTTAGCTTTCTCTTGGACAGCCAGGTGGCGAGGTAGATAGAGTATCAGGCCTGAAGTGAAGAAGATTTCAAGTTCCTGAATTCAAATCTGGCCTCAGACACTTAGTAGCTGTGTGACCCTGGGCAAGTCACTTAACCCCGTTTGCTTCAGTTTCCTCATCTATAAAATGAGCTGGAGAAGCAAATAGCAAACCATTCAGTATCTTTGCCAAGAAAACCCCCAAATGGGGCAATGAAGAGTCAGACACAACTGAACAAAAAAAGTTCCAAACCTAGACTTTTCAACCATTTCCTGGCTGCCTCAACACCATGATGCCTCCTCCCTGCCCCACTTCCCTTTTGTGTGTTGTCTTCCCCTATTAAATATAAGCTAAATATAAGCTGTTTTTACTTTTCTTTGTATCCCTAGCACTTAGCAGGGTGGCTGGCAGATAACTGGTACTTAATAAATGCTTGCTGACTACTTCTGGAAAGGAATGTGGAATTGAGGGCATTTGGCACATGTGTCATGGACTAAGCATTAACTGCTATCCTTTACATCCACTAAACCCTACACACATGAACTACTATATAGATGCTTTTCCCTAATATTTTATTCATACAGTTGTTTTCAAATTTAAAAGCAGGACTTCACATTTATTCCCTATTTGGCCCAGTATTTCAGTCTATTAAGATTCTTCAGGATCCCAATTCCATCATCCAATGCAGTTAACAGTTTCGTATCATCCACAAAAACAAACCAGAAGAATTAGAAACTTTGTCCAATTACCAAACAGAACTCTCCATTAGATAGCATTGCCTCCAAATCAATTTAGAAATAAAAGTTTAAGAAACAAAAATACTGGGGCAGCTAGGTGTGCAGTGGATAGAGCACTGGCCCTGGATTCAGGAGAACCTGAGTTCAAATCGGGCCTCAGACACTTAACACTTACTCACTGAGTGACCCTGGGCAAGTCACTTAACCCCACTGCCTAGCCAAAAAAAAAAAAACAAACAAACAAAAAAAGTAACAAAAATACTACAAAACTGAAAAATGCAATAATTGTGAGTTGGGCTTCTTTAAGGTGTCAAGAGGTCTTTATTGAGATTATAGCACAGTTACACTTCTAATACCCTTTTCCACTTTTATACAATAGTTAAAAATGTTTGCTACAGTGCACGTACAGTTTAGCAATTATCAGAACCAAAGCTCAACTGCATTTTAAATAAATAATAACCTATCATAATTTAAAGTAAAATAACTGTACAATATGAAAATATAACAATACATAACATTAAAATCTACAATTCTGTAGAAACAAAATTGTAATTCTGCATTACATAAACCTTGCGAAGAAAAAAAAATCCAAATAAACTTTTGGACCAAAGTCAGTATTTTCCATTTTTTAAATTATCATGCAGACATAGCATTTCAAGCCATGCTATAGTCCATAGTTAAGTTTTTAATGGTTTCATTTAAGAGGAGAAAAATGCTTGCCAGTAGATTGTATCATCAACTGCTGCATCAGATAAATGCTAATAATCTGCTTCTTCTACAGTACATTTTGGAGTGGAGGTATACTGTTGCGTTCAAAAAAATAAGAAATTAAATGTCTGAAGCAAACATATTTTACCTTTTAGTCTGAAACAGATCAGAAAATAAAATAATCATCATCTCCCTGGTTTAAAAGAAAAAGCCTATACCTCATAATGAATCAAACCAAGAAGCAGTTGTATATTCATTTTTTAGTCCCATAATGACACTTACATATTAAAAACAACCATGAAACTGTTGAGAGGCATACATGAAACTTACCCCTAAATAAGTGATGCATACAATGGAACTGTGAGAACAGCAAAAGTCATTTCTGTTTATGTTTAATCTGTCTGGAACTGATTTAATTACATATATCAATTTTATTAAAGTATAGCTCAATTTAAATTTATATAGAAAACTGTCATTTAGGCAAAGAACAAGGAATGCATTTAATACTAAATTGTAAACACATTATCAACCTTAACTTTGAGTGCACAGTGACAACTTACGGGCTTTTCCAACATACTTTGGCAACAAGACTACAATAGGTCACAGCAGCATGAATTCACATGGAAGACTGAAAGCACTGCAGAATAATACTAAACACCCATACCTCCTAAGCAATGAGATAAACTGTGATAAGTGCCTCCTCTTGCTAAATCCCTCTCCCAGCCAGATGCTAGTTGTTTGAACTCTCTTTAAAAAAAAAAAAGCCCACCAAAAAAATAAACCACAAAAAAACCAACTCAGTCATCTTAAATCTCTGTGCTTTATCTGCATAGGTTGCCTACAGGTGTCTTCTAACCACTGTAAGTCCAGAGGGTTACAGTTCTGTCAGCCGATGATGACAAAAAGGAAAGATCCCTCGTGTGCCACCTGCACTGAATCACTTTGTCCTTGTGCTCCCCTACCACCATAATTGGAAGCTGCTTGGTGAGGTCTCCTAAAAAAAAAGATAGTGATTGACAACTATTAAAATGAACTTGAGTAAATTTTATAGGCTTCTGAATAAGATTTCCTTATTTATTGGTTCAAAGTCCACATAAATGTAATGTTAACTTGCATTTTCTTTTAGCTCACTATAAAAATACATACCACACTACATTACTTTAATCAGATAACATTAACAGAGTTAAACTGCTAAACAGTTCAACATGATTGGATAATGTTTGCATAGATGAAACTGGGTTAAAGAAACTGTTCATTACAGATCTATCATAAAAAATTAATTTATTCAACATCGTTTAAGTGCTTATCATGTGCAAAGCACGGTGACAGGAGAAATAAATAAGAATGCAAAGGATGAATTAATATATTCTTTTCTGAATCTTCTGGCATTCTTCAGCACATAATGAAATGATACAATGCCATGAAGGCCAATTCATTAACAAAACAAATAATTCATTAAGTAACAAAACAAATAATTCATTAAGTAACAAAACAAATAATTCTGTACTAAAAATTAGAGCAACCATTCCAATTATTAAAGGTTAGAATACTGTTTACTAAGCTATATATTAAAACACCTCTGAGAATATGTTAATGTTATAAAAGTCAAATTAAAAAATGTTTTGGGAAAATGCAGATACTAGATTAACAAGGAGGAAATGGTGACAGAGAATCTAAAAATGGAAAGGGGAATATAAATAGAAATCTAGTCAGAAGTATCAAGATAAATTACCTTGTAAGTCTGTCACTTTTATTTTCATATCATAAGATCCTGTAAGTAAATAGTGAGCCCCAGGAGAGAATCTAACAGAGCGAACATCACTGGAATGAGGATGATAACTTTGTACCATTCGTCCTCCTCTGATGTCATACAACATACAGCTAGAATCTTCCTGACCAGTAGCTAAGAGACGGCCACTGGGGTCAACAGCTACTGATGCCACTGCACTCCCTAAACAAACAAAGTTTTTTTTTTAATTAGAGATGTATTCATTTTTAAAACCAACCCAAATTCATTGTAAAAATAATAAAAACTCACTTTTAAAGAGTAGTTTAAGATTTACAAAGCTCTTCCCTCACCACAATCCAGTGAAGTAAGCAAAAATAGTAATTATCACAGCTAGGTGGCACAGTGAATGAATAAGGTGCCAGGCCTGGAGTCAGGAAGACTCATCTTCCTGAGTTCATATCTTGCCTCAGATATTTACCAGCTGTGTGACCCTGAGCAAGTCTCTTAACCCTGTTTTGTTTGCCTCAGTTTCCTCATCTGTAAAATAAGCTGAAGAAGGAAAATGGCAAACCACTCCAGTATCTTTGCCAAGAAAACCCCCAATGTGGTCACAAAGAGTTGGACACGACTAAAATGACTGAATTATCACAACTGACGTTTATACAGCACTTAAAAGTTTACAAAATAGGACTATAGGATCATAGATTTTTGAACTGTTAAAAACCATAGACACTATCAAGTCCAATCCCTTACTTTACACATGAGGAAACTAAGGCAGAGAGAGGTTAAATAACTCGCCCAGGGTTATACAGCTAGTAAGTGACTAAGGCAAAATTTAAATTCAAGTCTTCCTGATTCAAGTCCAGTGCCCTCCCCACCCTCTTAACTTTGAGTGCACAAGTATGAAAAGTGCTTTTACAGATACTATTTAATTCAATGCTTACAACAACAAAATAAGGCGAGCACTATTATCCCCATGTGTAGATGAGAAGACTGAGTCTCAAAGATAGTAAGTGACTTGCTTAGCACAACTACTACATCAGCAAAGGAGGGATGGGAGGCTCTCAAGCATGAAATTCTGAAGATACAGTGGGGCAGAAAAGGGAAAGTTGTCTAAGAACACTAATGTGGATACACAGGAAACATTGATGAAGTTTTTTGGAAAAGACTTTTGGTAACATAAGATGCCTGTCTTTCAGCAACTATTTTTAAAAGGCACCAGAAGGAACAATAATCAAGAACTTGAAAGAGAAACAGCAGTAAGGTCTTCCAACCAGTCCAGGCCTGCCCAGTATGACAGATAGCTAGAAGACAGTAGGCACTCAGAAGGGTAATGCCAGGGAAGCAGAAGCTAGAGTAAACTCTGGTAAAAATGGCCTGAAGCCTGCAGGTTCTCTGATGAGGGATGCTCCAGTGGGGTTCAAAGTCAGCACAACCTCTGATAATTGAGGTCTGAAGTGCCTTAGAAAAAAGATTTAGCTCCAGTAAGTGGGATCTGAAACCAGCAGAATCTTGAGCCCTAGCCTGCTGGAGCCAGGAGTAGAGGACAAAGCCATCCTCCAATATGACAATGCAAAGTGAAAAGTGGCTGCCTCATACCACTTTAATCACAGCCTAAGATAGGGCAACTTCAATAAGTAACCATGTAGGGACGGAGGCCTGAGACCAGCATAATCTCCAACATCCAAATGAAGTGTGTTAGGGCCCCAGCTAGAAATAAAACCAATTGCCCCAACTGGGGATTAATGCAGGGACCCAAAAAAGGTCAAAGGCTACAACCCAAACAGAGCCAGTAGGAGACTACAGTAGAAGCCAGGGATTTTGGCACAAGGCAAGGTCTAGTATCAGCCAACCCAATTAAGAATTGCAGTCTACAAATGGACTGGGACCAAGCCAGGCCTATGCAATCCATCCAAGATTATAGAAGCAGGCAGAATCTGGCTCGAGTCCCAATCCAGAAACTGAGACTGGAGACATGAGCAAATAAAAGAAAACATGGAACAAAATTAAGAAATGCTACAGGTTAAGAGAAGTCCAGGAGGTTAATGCAGTGGATAACACCTCTATAAGTAAAGCCTCAAGGAAAAGAATGGCTTGGTCACAAGGACTCCAGGAGTAATTGGAAGAAATGAAGAAATAAAAGATAAAATTACAGCTCTTGAGGAAAAATTGGAATGAGAAGAAACAGCTTAGAACAGAAGGTGGAAAACCTTACCCTGGGAGTGACCTTCTTGAAAAACAGAATGAAGCAAACAGAACTCCATAATTCTATGAGATGACAAAAAATATTATAAAATGGTCAAAAAACTTGAAAATTAGAAGAATATAAAGAAAGATATCTACTATCTATGGAAGCATATAGCATCAAGTCCTCAGTTTAGGTTAAAAGTATTTAAAATGATATTCTGACAGCGTCCTACTGTGAAGCCTTTGGTCTCACTTGAATCAAAGACTTAATGTTCCTTGAATAAAAATAATGGATTTCAAGGAGGTATTCTTTGAAACTATGTGATATACTTTTGCTTATAGTAACCAAACAAAAAATGGAAATGTTTTTTGATCAAATTAACAAGGGTATTTCATTATTTACTTTTGACCAGACTGAAAGGGAGAACACTAAGGATCTCTATTAGAAAGATATTTTCTCCCAAAGCACACTGACATTAATATTACTATTGTTCTGTTTGATCAATTAAAAACCCAAACTTAAATTGTGAGTCTTTTGTTTTACTTTGCCATGGAATTTCATCTTTTGTTTCATAAATTATTATAAGATATAGATTGTTAATTGCTTAAGAGGGAGAGGGTTTTCTGACTGGTAAAGGGAACTCTAAACCCTCTCCATGCAAAAATGCTTGCATATAAATTGTCAAGGACAGATTCTGGTTAAAACACAGAGTACTTTTTTCTTTATATATCAAAAACAATTGACATGGAAAACCAGTGAAGAAGTAATTTAATCTTAGACTTGTAAATCATGACCAAATTAAAAAAAAAAAACCTGGACATCATATTTAAAGAAAATATTATAAACAGAGGGCAAAGCGAAAAATAGAATTAATTTATTTTCTGAAAGAAACCCCAAACTGAAAAGATCTAGGAAAGTCATAGCCAAAATCTAGAGTTCTCAGGCCAAAGTGTGTATGTGGGGGGGAGGACAACATATGTACTAGAAAACAGTCAAAAATAAAGAGTTCAAGTACCAAGGAACCACAATCAAAAATCACACAAGACTATGCTGCAAATAAAATAAAAGAGAGATGGCCTTGGAATATATGGTATTCCAAAGGATAAGAGCTAACAGCTAAGAGTAACATCCTGCAAAACTGGATGTAATCCTAGAGGGAGAAAAATAGATTGTTAATAGAATAGTGAACTTTTAAGTATCAATGATGAAAATGCTAGAGGTGAGTAGAATCTTTGAAACACATACACAAGAGAGACCAAAAAAAAACCCAAAAAACTCTAGAGAAGTAAATGCATGTGAGCAACTGGTAAGGGCTAAATAATAATGAAGTGGTTACATTTTATTGGGGGAAAAGGGACAAATATCCTCTGAGAATTCCACCACCTTCAAAGATCACAAGGAACTCAAAGACCTTGTGTTTTATTCTATTTTATTGGTTTTAAAAGAGGAAAGAAAATAAATACACTAGAAAAGAAATGAGGAACTTATTCTTTCTCATAACTGAAATGCTTGGTAAGAAAATACAAACCTTGGGAGGAGAGTAGGCAACTCATCAACCTCATGAATTGAACAAAGATGGGTTGAACACAAAGTCTGATATAGAAATACATTAAATTCAACAAAGAAACAGAGAAAATGTGAGGGGATGAGGGTTTAAGAGAAAGGTAGAGTCAGGGAGGAAACAGTCTTAAGCAAAACAAACTAACTTCAGAGGGGTGATTAAAAGGAGAAAAAGAAATTGTTAGGATTCAGTGAATGGGAGTGTGGGTTTGGCAAAGAGAAGAAGGGAAAAGGAGTAGAAATAAACTACTTCCTTTAGAGATTATTAGTGTTGATTACATTCCTTTTCTTGCACCTTTCTCTTTTTAGCTGAGGCATCTAGGTGGTAAAGTGTACAGAAAAGTGCTGGGCCTAGAGTCAGCAAGTCCCGAGTTCAAATCCAGCCTCGACGCTTACTATCTATGTAACTCTGGACAACTCACTTCACTTCTATTTACCTCAATTTCCTCAACTACGGAAATAAAGATAATAACAGCCCCTATCTCTCAGGGTTATTGTGAGGATTAAATGAGATATTTGTGAAGTGCTTAACATAATAAGGTATGGCATGTACTAGGTGCTATATATATATATATATATATACTCTTCTCTTCCCCTGCCCCACGACCTTCTTCTTCTTTGTAAAAGAGTAAAGAGAAGAAAAAATATAAGAGGATATGATGGAAAGAAAAAACAAATCAACAATTCTAACCATGAATGTGAATGGGAGAACTAACCCATAAAACAGAAATTAGTAAAATGGATTAGAAGTAGAATCCAACAATATGTTATTTAGAACAAATATATTTGAAACTAAGATTCACACATGAGTTAAAATGAGGGATTGAAGCAGAATTTATTATGTCTCAGATGAATTCAAAAAAGCAAGTGTGGTAATCATGGTCTTAGGCAAAGGAAAAGGTAGAGTTAAACAGAGAACCTACACTGTGCTTAAAAGCACCATATGTAAAGAAATAAAATCAGTACTATACATAAATAGGCATAAATAGCATCCAAATACTTAAAGGAAAAGCTAATTCAATATAGAGAGAAATAGAGAGCAAAATTGTAATAGTTGGGGTCCTCAATATGCCTCTTTCAGACCTAGACAAATCAAACTAAAAGATAAAAAAGAAAGATATTCAGGACCTGAATAGAATTTTAGAAAAATTAGATATGATGCATCTCTGGTGATTACTGAATAGGAACTAACCATGTACATAGGCATAAAAGAAGCATAAAAAATGCAGACAAATAAATAAATAAATAAATATTAGGTACATCTTTCACTGGACACAAAGCAATAAAAATTATAACCAATAAAGGGCCACTTAAGAAAAGATACAAATGAAGATTTGAAGATTAAATAATTTAATCCTAAAGAATTGGTGAGTCAAAGAACAACTCATAGAAACAAAACATTTTATCCAAAAAAATGCCCAAAATGTGACAATAAACCAAAACTTTTACAATCCAGCCAAAGCAGTCCTTAGGG